TGTGCTCCGAATAATGTTGTTTTTTTTATTTATTAACGCATATAAGGAAATAAGTTTGCGTTATTTTTCATTACGGATATTGATATTTATCATTTTTCTATTGATAGAAAATTCCTGCACTTCCGGTTCCAGTCGAACACACCGGGTGTGGTTATGGGCAAAATAACACCTGAAGGCGAGGAATATTAGATTCAAGTCTTGAAAGAACACGGATTCCGGTTCAGTTCATGTGTCCGTCCAAGCATTATTACGCATAGGGAATGTCAGCAGTGTTGCGAAGTGTGCGTGTGTTCGTCAGTCAAGACAGTTAATCATATTATCAGTGATTAAGGTGCACTGTTATAACAGCTAAGTGCAGATTTAAATATCCAGAACTGTTGTTGTTTGTTGTTAAAATATACGGCCATTGTTTCTGTTATAAAGAAAAAGAGAACTTTTTTATTTAACTATGTTTTTTTCCATAAGTATTAAACGTTAAACGTAGACTTATATACTTTTGTTGATTTATTTCTTTTGGTATTTACCTAAAAATTTGTCTCATTTCAATCTATGTGACCCGGGCATACTAAAACCCACCAACACACCTGTGCCTTCCCGTTCAATATATATTTGTTTTTCAAGCAGTATATAGTCTGAAAAATTCCCGTAAAGATGATGAATAATTTTGTCCACATTAAAGGTATATAGTGTTGTAATGGTTGAAAAAACAATTATTTGCGCCATGTATGACTTGCTTATGGGCGTTGTTATAACGTTGCTAAGCAACGCTAAAATCGAAATAAGCGGGAAGTCTATAGGTTAAATAACTTAATTACTAACTTCTTTACAGCTTAAGCATACTAATGCAGTGAACTTAAGATTTAAATATTATTGCCGTTTTAATTTTCTAATTAACAACGTTAAACGTCAAAATTTAATTTTTCGACGTCATGTGTTTACAAAGTGATCAAATATATGACGTTCGTTAAATTGGTATATCTAAATAACTAACCCTTTGATTTGAAAACGGTTTTCACCGTCGTATTCAGAAAGAAATTCTCTACAATAATATGTGAAAAACAGAATTTCGAAAAAAATGTCATTAAGACCGGTTTTCTCGCGTCGTGCCTCAAATGGTTTCATTGATATTGAAAGATGGACAAGTCTATTTATGGTATTCGGCGTGGTTTTAATTAATAATGCTATGATAATTAACTCGAACAAAATCACTGAGAATAATCTGTCTATCTCAAAATAAACATTTCTACCTTTCCGTTTTTTTTCCTTTTCAATATAAAATAACATACAAAGCTAGCACAGAAAGTGTTATGAACTACCCTTTAGTAACCATCTCTATAATATTAATGTGTAATCAAAACTTTCAGTAATTGGACACACATAAATAACAATGCAATCATGCAAACAACATCGCTGCTCTAACAGTAGTATAATAATTACAAAATACTGCAGTGTGTATTTTCAAATAACGGATATCTTCCTACAAGTATCAATTTTAACAATTCACTATCTTCCTACACAACAACCTGCTTGTTTTCATGATGTAACGCAGGCTTGCATTTAATTACGGAAGTTCGCTGTGGTGTTTTGTTGTGTATTGTAAAAAAAAAATGATACTGTATGGTTTGAAGTGTGTGTAGCAAACGAAATCATTATAATGTAATATAGGCCACTAGAGCAGTATGTCAGTGTGCCAAAAAACATTCATATATATAATATATACAGTAACACAGGATCGTTAAAGTCATGGCAAGGGAGACTCGTAAAATCATATTGATGAAAACAATCCCTCAAGCTGCTTTATTTTTTTTATAACCAAATATGCAAAGCGTGTAGCGACAACTGTTTTTGATTTCTTATTCAGAGGGTTGGTACAACCATTCAATACAGTATTCATAATATAAAAACCACTGATCGTAAAATGTAAAGAACATTTTACTACGATTTATAACTTTTATGATGAATCAATCTTAAACAGTGTTAGACTAGTTCACTATATAAACATGTTTTATTGCTCACCAAACATTTAGTAAATTCTAACCTCCCAATTTGTGTAAATAAGCTTACAATTAAGTCTTTCACAAAGGAAACAAGCATTTGATAGTATTGCGGGCAATACAGTAGTCCCCTACCGGTCCCTCAAAAAGTTCTTTAATTGTCATACACTCCTGTGTATTGCCATTTATAATGAATTTGAGGATGAAGTCTGTATTTGTAAATATCGACCACAAAACATAATAAAATAAGTTTGTCTATATCACAGTAATGTGTTAAGTTTCCATGCTTAGTAAGGAAATTATGTTTATACAACCTTGTCATATTATTACGATGTGGGATTTTAAAGTAAATCCTATAAGGAATGAAGAAGTTGGAGTGAAAATACCAGTTTCTCGAAAAAAATCTAAGTTCAAGGGGGACATAATTCTGGAAATAGTCTTGCTAGAGTATTTAACCTTCTCAAAAATGTCGAGTGATAATAAGAAACATATATATGAAGTTTGAAGTAGATACATTAGGAAATAAAGAAGTTATTTAAAAAAGACAACATTTTTTCCCCTAAAAAATCTAAGTTCAAGGGAGGTAATATTGATATTTTTTGTGCTAGAGTTATAAACCTTGTCACATATGATGTGGTTGATGACCAGGAACTTATATTTAAAGTTTGAAGTAAACACCTTAAGAAAAAAAGAACATATAGTGAAAAAGCTGAAAAATTTAAATCAGAAATCTTGAAATTCAGGCTATTTGTTGCCATAGCAACCAGAATTTTCAACATAGGAAGAGAAGAAAAAGATGTGCATAATCTCCAGACTGCCATCTACCCATATTTCAAGTTTCATAAAAATATTTTCAGTACTTTTTGAGTTATCACTGGATCCAGTTTATGTGTTAAATTTGCCATATTTTCAGACTATTTGTTGCCATAGAAACCAGAATTTTCAACATAGGAAGAAAAAAAAAAGACGTGCATAATCTCCATACTGCCATCTATCCATATATCAAGTTTCATAAAAATATTTTCAGTACTTTTTGCGTTATCGCGGGATCCAGTTTTGTGGACGGACGGACTGACGGACTGACAGACAGACGGACAGACAGACGGACAGACAGACAGACGGACAGACGGACGGAGGGTAAACCTAAAGTCCCCTCCGGTTAAACCGGTAGGGGACTAATAATTCTTAATGAATATTATCTTAAAATTTGTCAAATATCAAAGAATTTCAACGTTGATTTTCATTGTTTAATTCATTAGTTTGAGTAAATTTAATCAGTATTTCAGCATTTATTATCTGTAATGTGCTAGAAATATCTTGGTTTTACTAATAAATGTTTGTCCTCACTCAATTTACACATTTACATTTCTAAATTTTATTATCAATGTAGCCAACCATTATAATAATGCATAGCTGACAATAATGCACACTAATGTTCCACTGAGGTGTTTTAATCAAAATAAGAAGGAAAACATTCAGTGTCACTCAACCTTATAAAAGGCAGCATTATTTAATTCCTCTGCACCTTGTAACAATTAGCCGACATCTTCCAATTTTCTATATTTTTTTTAGTTTTAAGAAGCAAAAAAACAAAAGGCAAATTTATTTATTATTGTTGTAATACATTCTAACAATGCCAATTAAAAAGCAATTAACAAAATGAAATTATCATTATTTATATCTTACATAATAATATCCACAAGTGTAAATCAATTAAGAAATATCACACTTATGACTGGAATGTTTATTTCCTTGAAATTACTATAGTCATACTAATGGTATAAGTGCTCATTTTGATAAGTAAAAAATATTTCCGGCTGCAGATTCTGAATTTGCCTCATAAAATTACAACAGTGTGCAATTCATATTCCCATGTGGGGTTGTCTTTTTTATAACTTTCCAGTGAGTCAAAATATTGAAGTTTCAACCAATTCCCTTCAGTTGTTTTGGAGATATCAACTTTAACCCAAGTGTGACGCAACGCTTAAACATCGCCGCTTTGCTAAGTACAAAAGCTCTCCCTATTCTTCAAATACAGAGAAAGGAAATAAAATTCCATTTCTGATACATATTGAATGTGCCTTAAATTATGTGTATTCTATACCTTTACTTTCACACTTAAGCTACCTTAGAATAATATGTAGACAATAAATTTGTGTAGAATGCACACTGCATACATGTTACATCATCTGTAGTTTGAGTTCAACAACCTGGTAAGCTGTCAACTTTTACAGACCTGTTTTTATCATCCCACAAGGACATCACTTGTCACTATCATATCATTATATCTATATTTATCTACCTGCTTTATAATCCTTTATTATAGTTATATCTACTGTTCATACAAGATCACATGAAAGTTGAATCCCTCCTTCAAAGAAAGATCACATGACAGTTACATGTATATCTATTGTTCATACAATGTAACATGATTGTTATGTCTACTGTTCATACAAGGTAACATGATTGTTATATCTACTGTTCATACAATGTAACATGATTGTTATATCTACTGTTCATACAATGTAACATGATTGTTATATCTACTGTTCATACAATGTAACATGATTGTTATATCTATTGTTCATACAATGTAACATGATTGTTATGTCTATACTGTTCATACATTATGTTTTATTGGCGGCCTGATTTTGTATTTCACGTTTATGCTGATTTCCCAGAAAGTAACAGTGGACTATTCCAAATTAAAAGCTCAATTTAAAATTCAGCACAGCATAAAAAGGTGGTACTTATATTGATCTATTTTATAGTGCAGCATGTTGCATCCATGAACAGAAAAAGGAAATTAATAGAAAGATTATGGCTTTTGTTTTCAACATCTTAAGAGAAAAAGTCACAGATTGTGTTTGCCTTTGTAGTTCTGGTCTAGACCCTTTTATGTTACAATGATTTCATCAATATAACAGAAACTGTTATGACAGGAGTACAATTTAATACAATCTGGTTCCCATACAATCTGGTACTCATACAACCTGGTACTCATACAATCTGGTACTACTACAACCTGGTACACATACAACCTGGTAGCCATACATTCTGGTACCTATAAAGTCTGGTACCCTGAAATCTGGTTATCGTTCAGCCTGGTACCCAAACAACTTTGTAACCATACAACCTGGTAGCCATACATTCTGGTACCTACAAAATCTGGTACCCTGAAATCTGGTTATCGTTCAGCCTGGTACCCAAACAACTTTGTAACCATACAACCTGGCAACCATTCAACCTGGTAATCATACAACCTGGTAACCATACAACCTGGTAACCATTCAACCTGGTAACAATACAACCTGGTAACCATACAACATGGTAACCATACAACCTGGTAACCATTCAACCTGGTAACAATACAACCTGGTAACCATACAACCTGGCAACTATTCAACCTGGTAACCATACAACCTGGTAACCATACAACCTGGTAACCATTCAACCTGGTAACCATATATAGTATTTTCTGTTTATAATTGTTACGGTGTAACGGAAGTCCTTAATGTATAATGGGGGTATATATACTATTACATAAATTTATTCTATTTAATTAAAACTGTAATGGAAGTCCTTAAAGGAAATTTGACTGATTGATTTTAACACGGAAAGATAACAGGTCACACTATCTTGGCAGATGCTTGTACAGTACCATCTTTTAACAACAGTAGTATTACTGCTGTCATAGTTATCAATCTTGTTTTTTAATCTATCCCACAGTAATTATCATTTAATTCTAGTTTTAACCAGACTTTTTTATGTGACTTTATCATTTTTTTTTATCTCTTCCTTTTTTATTTTCTTTTTTTTCTATTTCTTTTTAACATATTTGTCACAATATATAATTGCTGTTGGATTATTACTGTATCAGCTTGTTCTTCAGTAAAGAAGAACAAAAACAGATGCACAGTCAATGAATTTAAGCTTTTGAATTAACTTGCCCTATTCGGTATAGAAGAACAAAAGCAGATGCACAGTCAATGAATTTAAGCTTTTGAATTAACTAGCCCGTATTCCAGTTTTGAATTTATTCTTCTACATATTCAAGTAAATTTTCTTAAAATTTTCACTGTCCCAAACTAATTTTCACTGGTCATGGGCCACCGGCCCAGTGCTAAATTCAATGACTGGATGCAACCAGAAATCTAAACATCTAAAGTTCATTGGAAATCAACCTCATGCATACTTTTAGTTCCAAAATTTCATAATTAACAAACACAAATTATCATATTCAAAATAATTTAATTTAAAAAAAAAAAAAAAAAAGATTTACCTCCCCCCCCCCCCCCCCCATCAGAATCTTTAAAACCCTTGATACGGTCTTTGTCGACTAAACAGCTTGTTTGTTATGCTTCCATTCTTTTTATACTTTAATCAATGATTTTTCCAAGCGGTACAGTTTGCACATTGGTACATGCAACAAAAGCAACTTTTCTTCACTGAAGTAAAAATTGAGCCGCGTCACGACAAAACCAACATAGTGGGGATCCAGACCAGCCTGCGCAGCAGCGCAGTCTAATCAGGATCCATACTGTTTGCTATCAGTTTCTCTACTTGCTATAGGGTGTGTAAGCAAACAGCATGGATCCTGATCAGACTGCGCGGATAAACCCATTATGTTGGTTTTGTCGTGACGCGGCTCAAATATACAAGGAAAAAGAATTCTTTGCACCTGTCATTGATGATAACTTGTTGTTTTTTATACTAAAATCAATGACTCTAACATAAAGATGCAGTTTCCAGTAGCATATCTATGCAACAGAAGCAACAAAAAAAAATTTCACGAAGCTCTCATGTAAACACTGTAGAGAATAATCTGTTTGCTGCTCGGAAATAATAATAAATCAACATGTTATGTTACAATTGTTTGTTTGTTTCATTTTACGCCTTTTTCCAACAGTATTTCAGTCATATAGGCGGGTAGTTTCCTAACCATCGTTCCTGGAGAGTTACACCAGTACTAGACTACCTTCCTCCGCTTTAAACCATCAAAGCATCTCCCGGGGATCGAACCCACGCCAGAGAGGTAACTGGATTAGAAGTCATAGACTCTAACCCCTCGACCACTGAGGCGGTTTTATGTAACAAGTCATCTGCTTTTGCAAGTTATATAATTATATATGATCCTGTAAATTAAGCTGTTAAATTAAACCAAATCCAGCTAAATCAAACCAAATCCAGCTAAATCTAGCATAAATCAACTAAATTCAGCTCAATTTAGCAATTTTAACCAAATTAAAATCAATTTAACCAAATCTAGCTCAAATCAACAAAATTCAGCTCAATTTAGCTATTTAAACTAAATACAAATCAATTTAACCAAATACAGCTCAGTCTAACCAAATCTGGCTTAATTAACCAAATCCAGTTCTTTTTAGCCAGTCAGTCAGCTCAATTCTATCATCATTGTTCTATTATACCACAATGACTATTTTTATTTATATTCTCTATTTTTAGAAAGTTTGTACACAATTTTTTTTTAGTTGGAAGACTGTCAATAACAATCTGCAAAATGATGCGTCCGCCGAGAAACGTCTAAATAGCAAAACAGCTTGCCGCGAGCAAATTGCCGCCACTCTGTCACGTACCACACCACCAGTTATAGAGACAATAGCCCCCATATTTATACATTTATACATATTTAATAACATAGCACGCGCCTATCAGTTACAAAATTTACACACGGAATTACCGCATGCCATTCAGAGAGCTGACAATATTGCCACTGGAATGTGAATTAAAAATTCAACTGGCAGAGTAATTAGGCAGTATCAAGGAAATGCTATCTGCCTGGTTTTTACTCAGAATGTTGTCAGATCTATTCATCATAAACTGCCTTGAATGTTATCTATTTGATTCATCATTACTTATAAGTGTACAATGATGCGGCTTTTTAACATCACTATTGATAATATATGCATAGTAAATTATGCAGTGTCTTGTCAACCTTGAAATTCCGAATTTGTGTATTGGATTTGCCTTGCTTTTAATTTGAGACTTAGTATTCAAATTTTAAGTGTCTGAAAGACTTTATAGCTTTCCTGGTCAAATAAGCTGGCCTGGCTCTATACTGGTGACACAAAATTATGTAAAATTATAAACCGTATTTAAAACTGTCCATTTTCAATACGGAAAAACAATTAACCATTTAAAGCCAAAATTTTAAAACTATATGTATAATTTTACTGACATCAAGCATTGCACTGATGGCACGGATATGCTCGCTGTCTTGGTCTACAATGGTGGCATGGGTAGAATCATTTGTGGCCAACATGATATGGATTAATGCACACAATCAGTTTTAGAGAATCTATGCCGATTTCAAAATTAAGGTGTTAATACAAAAACATTAAACGATAGCCAAGCAACAGAGTCTCATCAAGTCTAAATAGCATGCAAAACGGCTCTCAGGAATTTTTTTTACTAAAATAGACACAATCTCCATGTAACAGTCAAGCACAGCACAGCCACTGCCTGGAGAAGATAGATTCTGATCAATAATTTGCAAACAAATTTTTCTTACATTTATCCCCAGACCTATAGCCAATATATATACACACACACACACACACAGCCTGGCGATATATATATTTTTTTATCTACATTTTTTTTGTTGTTGTTAACTCCACTCTTGGCTATAAATCAATTTTCAATACAGCTTTGCTCCACTACACTCTTTACCATTGCTAGTACTTTATCTTGTTTCGTATGTCTGTTTACAATTTATGGTGGCTGTGTTTTCATTTATTGCTGTTTAAGTAATCTACAGTTTTGTTCTGTTCACTGCACCTGCATTAAATTGATTAACTTCTTTCTTTTCAAGAGTCATTGCCTTTCAACTGCTTAGATAATGGCATGACAACAGATATGTGTTCCGATATGTGTTCCGATACGTGTTCCCATATGTGTTCCCATATCATCACAAATACACAGGATTTCAAATCCAAAATCTATGTGAATGCCAGTGTTCAAATTGTGGATGTCTTAAATATGCAATATAAAAAGAACACAATCAGATCTGGCTCCAGAGCACTATTAAAATTATTGACCCTCAATTTTTCAACAAATAACCCTAAAATTATTAAAGAACATTCACGAATGCCTTAACACAACCGGGTCTTTAACTGAGTAACTTTATCAATACATCTTAAAAATTATTAAGACTAGTAGGCCGGTTGTTTTTTTCTTTTTTAATATTTTTCATCACTTTTCACAATGGGTTTTCAAGATGCTTTACTTCCTGAAGTCCTTCAAACCTTTGTTACAGGCACTTAAAGAAATGACTCAAATAACATATTAAAATAAATGAGACTGACGTATATGGCTTTAACTCTGCGAATGCTGACTTTCACATCATCTTGCCTTTATTATAATAATAATAATTTAATAATAACAATCTTGCCTTTATTCAAGTGCTACCAGTACCTACTGGAGCAAAGTAGCTGGCATTTATGAAAATTGTAATTTTCAGTCTATTGACATTCGACAAATGAGCCGCGTTACAACAAAACCAACATAATGAGTTTGCGACCAGCATGGATCCAGACAAGCCTGCGCATCCGCGCAGTCTGATCAGGATCCATGCTGGTCGCTATCAGTTTCTCTACTTGTAATAGGGTTTGTAAGCGAACAGCATGGATCCCGATCAGACTGCTCAGATGTGCAGGCTGGTCTGGATCCATGCTGGTCGCAATCCCATTATGTTGGTTTTGTCGTGACACGGCTCAATTCATTTTTATTTGATATTTGTTTGATGTGAGTGATGCAAATGTAAAATGCATTATCATTGTTTAAGAAAAATAAAATTTTAAAGTAACATTATGCTCATATTTTCATAGTCAAGTTCAGCTGAACTGACTATATATTTCAAAAGATTAACAGTTAAAATGGTGATTGGCCAACAGTTCATATTGCAAAATGTTTAGAATAAAATTTAAATCTGCCTAAAAAATTAAAAGACTGCCCCACTCTTTTTATGAACTGAATGTTACAGGTAAATTCTAACGAATATTTACGAAAAATTCGTTTGGATCTGTGCGTTGGTTAA